GAAACTGATATGGGGAAATTATAAAGCAGATGTTTGTGATTCACTTTTATATATGATAATTAAACTGAGTTGTTAATTGATTGAATATGACACTAGAAGGACAATTAATCATGGGTTAAAATATATGAAACATGGACATAAATAGAAGTGAGATATGTACCGCTTGTTATTCTATATAGTAGATTAAGGGAATTGTAATGAATATTGAACAATAAGGATTGCCATTTATAGACAATTAAGGGTAATCTAAACCAAGATATGGAAAAATGGAGAGGGAACATAAAATATACATAAAATATAAAAAAATGGGAAACTATTTTATTCTCACTGGAAAGAGACAAAAATGTCTAACTGATTCATACATTTTCTAAGCTTTTTCTAAAATCAACAAGAATTAAGAAACAGAAAACAAAGCTATAAATTAAAAGTGAGCACATAACATCATTCAACCCAGAGTTCTCATTTGAGCAAATGAACAAATGAACAGGATCAAATTATCCTGTACTTTGGACACATCATGCAATCACTCAGTTCTCTGGAAAAGGCTGTAATTCTGGCAAAGGTAGAATGAAGGAGAAGAGGATGACCAGCAGAAAGATGGATAAAGTCAGTAACAAAGGTAATGAGTATATTATTCGGAGACATAAAAGAACAGATTGCCCTTTAGAATATCCACGCATGTGGTTGCTAGGAGTCAGTTTAGTGGCACATAATCAATCAAAGTACTTCATAAATAGAAGGTTCCACATTTAATTGCTAATGAAATGGATTTCAAATAATAAGTCTGGGAAATATTTCTTTCTGGACCAAAATATATACAAGAGATAGGCAGCTTAATGGCTCCATTCAACTCCAGCCAGAATACTTCAGTGTTCAGGGATAATAAAAACAAATCCAATACCTCTGGAGATCTGATTTTTCTGAAACACGTTTGTCATTCTCCCACTTGGTGGTCTCATTTGCCTCCATCTTTTCAACATTTAGAAGGAGCAGGTAAGAAGTGTCTCATCGGCTAGCATTTACTTATTTAAAAATTTAGATGCCCATATATGTATCATTTAAAGACTTGTTCTCCCGCCCTCCCATTAGTTGCCTAGTATGTTGTCAGAAGTGGAAGTCAAAAAAGAAAGAACAAATACACTACATAAAATAAAAACACTTTTATAAATGAGGAAACACAAAGTATTCATTTCTGACAGAAAAGCCCTTGAAGATATGTGAAGTTATAACATAAATGCTAATTTAAATCAGTGGTGGGCTGCAGGTGGTATGCCCCGGGATAGGTGTACCGGGGCCAGCCCAGAGTACCAGATACCGTTCCGGTATGGTGCTCCGGAGGGTCCAGCCACGCTCCTTACCTGTGTTTAAATGCACAGGACACCGCCGGGCCCGTTTCAACTGTACCGGTTGGAACGGAATTTGAAACCCACCATTGATTTAAACCTACATGATTTAGTAGCTGAGTATTTGTAGAGAGTTTAAAATACTTTAAAAAAAAATCAATATAATTATAATTCACTTCAGAAAAGTTCTTCAGGGCTATTGCCTTTTTATAATTCTGCATCAATTGTACAATTTACTATGAGAAAAATATTAAGAACGATTTACTATGAGATGTGAACATACCCTAACTCAGCTTGAAATGCTGCAAAATATGTCCATTTCCCAAAACCTAACTGTCAATAAACAGCTTTTCTATTTTCAAAACAGCTCTGAAGCAATGACTTTCTCAGAGAGCTCAGTTTTTGCTCATATATTCCCTAATAATAAGATCAGAGATGGTAGGGATAGCGGAAATTTTGAATAGAGAATTGGTAAACACCACCACTGACTGCCCCTCCCCCCTGCATTCATTCTCTGCCTCCCAAGTCCCAGCTGATCGGGAGGAAATGGGGATTTTGCAGTAACCTTCCCCTGGAGTGGGGTGGGAATGGAGATTTTACAGGATCCTTCCCCTGCCACACCCACTAAGCCACACCCACCAAGTCATGTCATGCCAACCAAGCTATGCCCACAGAATAGGTAATAAAAAAAAATGAATCCCACCATTAATAAGGACACTTGCAATAATTTTGGATAGAGTTGTATAAAATAAAATAAAAATAAAATCTAGAAGTACATTTTAAAGACTAACCAAGTGTGTGAAATATAAAGATGTAATTCCTTCTCCTCCATCCATGGTGATAAGGAAAAGATTTTCCGTCTGGGAAAACATTATAGCTGTTGTTATGTGTACAATTTACCCAGCTACAGTCATCAATCCACTGGGTCCAATTATAAACATATTCATCAGAAAGAACTGAAGAATCTAAAAACAAAAAGGAAAAAATAGGTGGGGTGGGAGAGAAGCAGAACAATTTTTAAAGCATTTTCTTCAGACTGGTGTCTTTCATATATTGGGATTTAATTCCTTCATTTCAATAGAATGTGGAAAACTTCAGATTGAAAAATAAGGATCGGGTTTATCAAAGCTGCAGTCCTAAACATAGTTATTAAGAACTTCCTGGACTAATACAGATTGCCTTAAGTAGAAAAACAAATTGGATGCAATTTCAATCATATTAATAAAGTCATATGGTATCTATGGTATCTAAAGCTAGCTAAATTACCTGGCCCCCTGAAACAGAAAAATCCCATCTTGCACCTTCTCTTACAGTAAAATAACCCAATAATAACAAAAGCAATAAAACCATTACTTACTATTTAGGCACATTCGATCATATATTATATTGCTGTCATTATCTTCCTTCTGACATCTGGGAAATTTTAGTTTTGCAATAAATGTCACATTAGATCCTATAAGAGCTGGGCTATCAGAGGTCAAACTAGCTACTACTCTTCCCCCTGAAAAGCAAAAGATAAAATAAACCTATTACATTACTATTCTCCTTTTCCTTCACAGAGCACCAGAAAACTGTGGTGCACCAAATTCCCCATTACATCTCCCACTGCCATTTTATTTTGAATACAATTTTATGAATTATGGAATCAGTTTGCTGTTGCAATATGCTAGAAACCAGGAGACTGAGAGATGTTCCCCTGCCTTAGAACAAAGCCAGATGGGTGACCTTGGCTAATCACTCTCCCTTAGCCTTGAGAAGGAAGCAATATCAATTCTGAAATCCTGCCAAGAAAATTGTAGGGACTTGTCCACGAAGTCATTGAAGTCAAAAGTGCTGACTCAAAAAGTGAGATATCAATATGCATACATGCACATAGATAAATATTATATAGACAGCCCTCAACTTGAGATCACACTTGAGCCCAAATGTATCTTGACAAGTGAAAAAAATTATGTGAGTTTTATCCCATTTTACAGCTTTTCTCACCAAATTTCTTGCTATATTTGTTAAGTGAAACAAACAGTTGTTAAATCAGTAACATGGTTATTAAGTGAATCTGGTTTCCCCATTGACTTTACTTGTCAGAAGGTTGCAAAAGGGAATCACATGATCCTGGGACACTGCAACCATCATAAATGTGAGTCAGTTGACAAGCATCCAAATGTAAATCATGTGACCATGTGGATGCTGCAACAATCATAAGTGTGTAAAATGGTCATGGCACTTTTTTCAGTGCTTTGAATAGTCACTAAGCGGACTATTGTAAGTTTAGGACTACCTGTACTACATCTTTCCAAAATGTTTCATGATTCTTAGAGAGTTCTTGTAGCATGCACTAGTCTTTTCACTTTCTAAAAGATATTTAATTTTAATAAGTTATATCAAATATAGTATGAAAAATTGTTTGTATAAATTGAAATATTCCATGCAAATAGCATAATCATATTATGCAATACTTTCTGAGGCTAGCTAGACAACAAAACCACCCATGCATAAGATGGGGATGTCTGCTGGGATATTCAAAAAGTTTTCCAAATGCAACACACACACACACACACACACACACACACACACACACGATTATAGATATGTGTGTGTCTGTGTCTGTGTGTATGTAATTTTGTGTTAATAAAGTGGATTTAAAAATGTTTTTCCCCCTTCTTATATAATGATTGAATAATTTTTGAAGCTTGTAAAATATTATTGGAAGTGAATTTTAAAGTATGTATGTTAAGAGGAAATTTAAAATATATATTAGAACTAAAGCATTGGAAATGTTTTTAAAGAAAACTTTAGTGTTTTAAAATGATGTAAAAAGTAAAAAGCTGACATTGTAATGTTATTAAATTCTACTGCACTAAAGAGCATCAGAAGTCAACATCTTGTTTTCTTCTTCCACCTTCTATCCCACATTTTCTCTTCTCTTTTTTCTAGTTTTCCATTATTTTTATTTACCTTTTACTTTGTATTCTGATAAACCAATACAATTTGTATATTCCTCAAAAATATTAACTAATTTGGGGGATGAGGAATGAAGAAGTGGAATGGAAGATTCTACTGAAGTGCTGGATAGATGGCTGGCTGACATTATAAATATACATTTTCCATTTTGGTTCTCTCCAAATTATTTTTTAAAGAATATTTCAATGACGCTCCCAAAGGCAAACTATTTATTGAATAATAGGAAAAGCAAGGAATACGCTAATTTTCTAATCTACATTGATTCCTACATCCCAGTTAAACTTCAATGGAGGCATTGTGAGAGAATTGTCCTCGGGACTTTCTTCAAAATAGACCCATGGAAATTCTGGGAGATGGCAGAATGACAGTGAATCTTCAACAGTAGAGAATAATCCCAGCCTCGGGCAAATATATCAAGCCAGATTGGCATCAAGTCTTGCTTAGTTCTCTTTCTTTGATAAACCATACTGCATGTCAGGCACTCAGCCAAGTGCCCAACAATTAATGTTTGAAACCTAATTGAAAAATAAATCAATAGAAAATTATTCTTTTCATAATTTAAAACGCCTGATTTATAATCTCATATCAGAGATGTATGTATGTATGTCAGTAGGAGGATCAAAAAAGTAAAAATGATGACTGTGATCATGAGACTGTAGCATCATCTCTTGTTTATGACTGTCCCAGTGTAAAAGGGATGAGCCTCCAATCATGTGGTCTTGGCGTGCGTGAGTTTTTGGATTCCTCTGTCGAGGCCATTTCAATAGAAAATGTACAAACTAAATTCAAATTTGGAAAGAATTGTTATTGGCATTAAAAAGAACTTTAAATTAGGATTAATCTTCTTCCTTGAGATTTTATTCAAGTGAATCTTGGTTCAGGCTAACATGAATTTAGGACTTAGGGTTAGTGCTGTCTTAAGCTCCTGATGCAAACTGATGCAAAAGAGTTAGTATTGGTAGCAGATGCATGATATTAGAAAAAGTTTTTACTAAAAAAAGCTGCACTATTGCCAGGATTTTGGGAGGGAGGGTTTATCCCAGTTTAAAATACTGATTTCAATTATTAAAATTCTAAAGTATTTTGGGCCATAACCATATGACAGTCAGACCATTGCTGCATTGCTGTAAATGGGAAAAATCTCTTCATTAATGCTCTCCTTTTACTTACTTATTTACTTATTGATTACATTTATATCAAGGGTGGGCTCTGGCTGCTGCTACTACCAGTTTGCTCAGGGACGTGCTGCATGCATGCACTTGATGCGTAGTACTAAAAAATGCTTCTGCGCATGCACAGAAGCAAAAAACAAGATGGCACCATCTATGGCGCCACTGAGAAAACCAGTTCGGGGGAGTGGCAGGCCAAGTTACTAGCTACTCGCCCAAATTGGTCAGAACCAGTAGGAACCCACCTCTGATTTATATGCCTCTGTCTTATTATCCAGTGACTCTGGGCAGCTTACGATGTCATATACAACAATGTAAAATATTAGAAGACTAAAAGATTTATATGTCCAACTGTTCAACATGGAAAAGTAATGTTTCTTCTCTGTTGATTGTAAATTAAAAAATGTATTTTTAAACTCAAGGGTTACATTTAAATAGCTTGTGACATAGGAAAATTCGAAATCTAACCTTAAGCATAAACTTTACTCTAAAATTACCCTCAAGTTCAAAGTATTTTAACTAGAAATCTCAAACAAGCTACATCCTAGCCTTAGATCCATGTTAATGCCAATATTCTAAACCATACACATAAAAACTGTGGTGGGATCACTTACCTTCCCTACCGGTTCGCAAATGTAAGACACGTGCCACATCTGCACCACCTTCTGCGCATGCACAGAAAGTCACACATTACCTCATAGTGGGTGAGTGGAGCCTACTGCAGCTCCCACTACTCGTTCGCCGAAACTGGAGCAAATTGGATGAATACCACCTTTGCATAAAAACCATATCACAACTCACCCTGCCACACCTTTGCCACGTGCATACACAGAACTGTCTCCTCCTGTCTACACACAGGTAAGCATTTGCGCTAGACTATCCTCCCCTCCTTACTGACCAGCATCTTCCAAAGCCGTTGTCATTGCAACCCCCTCCCCTTGGAGCTCCAAGCGGGTGGTGGGGTGGTGGGGCACTGGGGTGAGCCCTCAGCACTTTTTACACTGGCGGGAAAAAATGCTGAGGAGGATCCTTGCTTACCTTTAATCTGTTCAGCTGGCCAAGAAAGTGGCAGGCAAGCGGCCAGGACCGTCCAGCATGGGCGGGCAGTAAGGGAAGCAAGCCCCGGGCCAGCATCCCTGCCTCATTCCTCTGAGAGCCAGCTTGGGATATGGCCAGCCTCCCCCACCGCTGTGCTCTTTCCTCACCATCCATGCGGAGCTTCTGCCAATGGGGCACCTCCCATTTCACCCCCGTGCATGCCCCTCTCCACTGGCTGCAACCTGACCCCTGCCTGATCAGCTGGGTGGCTGTCCGGGAAAGTGGCAGGTGAGTGGGCAGGCGGCTAGGGCCGGCCTGGCCTCCAACACTCCATCTGGCATGGGCAGCTGCAGCAAGCAGTAAAGGAAGCAAGCCCTGGGCCAGCATCTTTCCTCCAAGAGCTGGCTTGGGGGATGGCCAGCCTCCCCCTTCCCTCATTGTTCATGCAAAGTCTCTGCCAGTGGGGCATCTTCCTGCTGGATGCAGCCCAGCCCCACCTGGTCAGCTGGGCAGGTGGCCAGGAAAGCGGTGGCCAAGCGGCTGGGACTGTTGTGCGTATCCTTCCCTCACTCAACTGCTATTGCCGGGAGGCCCCCAGGGTAAGTGAGGGAAGGAGAGGGGCCAGAGAAAGAAAGGAGGTGCATAATAAAGCAGCCCCCACTACCAAGGGCAAAGGGGCGTGCCTTCGCCCTCTGCTATCACGTGCCTTCTTTCTTTCTCCAGCCCCTCTTCTTCTCTTGCTTGCCCTGGTGTCACCCTGGTGATAGCAGCCAAGCGAGGGAAGGATAAGGCAGCCCCCACAGCCAAGGACAAAGGGGAGCGCCCCTCCAGGCATCCTTTTGTCTCTGCTTAACCCTCATCATCGTTTCTTTGGCTGTTTTGACTATGCAATGGGGGGGGGGGAGAGCAGGAGGAAAGCAGCAGGAGGTGGGTGGGCAAAGTGAGAAAGGGGGGGGAGAAAAACTCACTCGCAAGCATGCTGTCTTCACCCCTGCAGGTGGCGCTTTGCTGCACCTGCCCCAATGAGTGAAGGAGGGGCTGACCACAAACTGCCCACCTGTGTTCAAACCAGCCCGCCTCCTCTCTCCCTGCACAGGCTCTCTGGAGGGGGAGGGAAGGTCTCTCCCAAGACTGGTTTCTTTCGTTCCCTCCTGCAGCACCAGTCCGTAGGGGGAGGGCACGGAGCATTTGGTGGCTATGAAGAAAGTGAGGCAGAAATCTTCACTGGTTTTGTGGGCGTGGCTAAGTGGGGCATGACTAAGTGAGGGGCATGTGACTGAGTCGGCATGGGCATGAGTGATATTAAGTTGGCCATGCCCACTCAGTCACATGCCCCCCACCTAGCCACGCTCACTGAACTGAAAATTTTTTGAAATGTTGATACGTCCGTTGATGTATCATAGGCTAATTCTAAAAGAAGCACTAAGCATAAAAAGTAGCCCTAAGCAAATAAAGCATAATATTAACATAGGCCTAACAAACTCAAGAAAATCTAATGTTAAAACTGTGTAATTCCATTAATAAATTTTAATCCAAAGCCTGTAGTTTCCAAATTGTGTGTTGGGGCACTCCATCAGCTACTGAAAGATAATATTTTGTAAAAATGTTTTTTGTGATATTTACAAAGCTCAATTTTGCAACATCCATCTGTGACATTATATCTTTTTAACAGTAAAGCTGCCATGAATTGAGAAAGTTTAGGATCCTGTACCAAATTAAAATCAGTTGTATCACAAAATAATTTTCATTCTATTATCATTCATCAAGGTATAATTACTTACAAGTCTCAAGAAGTCTAATCAATTCCAATAGATATTTTAAATCCTAAACTTAATACATAAATTCAAAAGAATGCTCCAGTCTAATTGTAATACTAATGATATGGCAGAACTTTCGTTACTCCAAATATTTGGCTAATGATGGTGCCAAGTCATGTGTGCAGTATGAGAGAAGACAAGTTTGATAATATTGACTAAAGATACCCTTAACTTGTGTAAAAATAGCTAAACAAAAAATCCTTATATTATAAAAAACCAGCCATATATTTTCACAAACAAAAAAATTCATTATTCTACAGAAAACAAAATTATCACTCTTGCCAAGCTCCACTTACACTGTATTATTCTACAGTTGCATTCACTTCAGGCTGATTGCCTTCCCCCACTCATCTTTATCCTATCATGAAAATAGAATTACCTTTCCAGCAGTTTTTCCATCTGGAGTCTCCTTTCTCCCAGATAGGATAAAGCTTATCATTCCAGTTATTACGATCAGAATACCAATGATCCAGCCTGTGGTTGTGCTTGTTATGAGAATATGCTGTTCTATGAGTCATCACATCTCTAAATACTACACAGAGAAATTCAAAACATCAACAAAGTTAAGAATTTTATTTGTTTTCCACACGAACAGAAGGTTTATGTGCCCATATTTCATGCTAATGGATCCTCATTCAGAAAACTGTAAAAATAGCTTTTTTCAGGAGTTATGCAATTCTGCCTTTGGATGGGAGATGCCAAAACTAACCTTCTGGTCCAGCCTGCTTTACCCGATCACACTATATTGAGGGCAATATGGAATCCACAAATATGGTTACATTGTGCCAATCTCTTGTTCACAGAATTTTAGCACTCCTATAAACTCAGTATTTAATTATGTATACTGATAAAAGGTAACGGTAAAGGTTCCCCTCGCACATATGTGCTAGTCATTCCTGATTCTAGGGAACAGTGCTCATCTCCTTTTCAAAGCTGAAGAGCCAGCGCTGTCCGAAGATGTCTCTGTGGCCATGTGGCCAGCAAGACTAAACAATGAAGGCGCACGGAATGCTGTTACCTTCCCACTAAAGGTGGATCCTATTTTTCTACTTGCATTTTTCCATTTTTCCTTTCAAACTGCTGGGTTGACAGAAGCTGGGACAAGTAACGGAAACTTACTCTGTTACACGGCACTAGGGATTCGAATCGCTGAACTGCGACCTTTCTGATTGACAAGCTCAGTGTCTTCGCCACTGAGCCACCATGTCCAAAGTACACCAATACAACTGCGCTAATTTGAAAATATATCCTATATCTGTGTGTACTGATGAAAGTCTGTTCACTCTCCGTAATCACATTATTATATATAGTGTTTTGAAGGTTGTTTAAAGCATTTCCCATTTTGACTAATAGACCAATAGTGCCACAGAAGATTATTTTCTTCGTTTTAATTGTCATTATTATTCAAAATATTTGAATTAATATTTTAAAACACAATTATTACTTTGTGCCATTATATGAGGGTTGATTAAAAAGTAATGCTTCCAATTTCACCAACAGAAGGCAAGACGAATGCACTAGAAGATTGGATATGTTTAACATTTGTTCTTTCACTTTAGTCAATGGGAAGACAGTGTGAAAAAAGTTTGCACTTCTGTGCTTGAATGCTTTAAGCAACATTCTGCAATTGAAGTTTTGATGCCTGGAGGAGACCCTGCAAATGCAGATTAGGGTGATTACTGCCTTTGATATAAATACTCTGTGTCAATTTTATGAGTCACTCAAACACATAAAGTGGGTGACTTGGGGATAATTGTTTTGTGTACTTAAGAACAAAATATATAATTTATAACTGCAAGTAAAGTGTTTCACTTTAGACAAATGCTGATGAACTGATTAAAGAAAAATAACATCATTCCAATAAAAACTGCAATTAAGTTTGGCACTTAGCAAGAGCATGTGGGTCACATTATTGATGTTTTTTAATATCAGAAGTTTTTGCAACATGAGTTTCTTACATGCTGATGGCAGAGAATGAAGCTTCAAGAGTTTAAATTTGCCAGCAATTTTCATACTATGAAAGAAGGGGAGGGTTTTCTTCACAGCCTCATGATAGCTAACCAAGCATGGGCTCATCATAATGATCTAAAAATATTATCATAAAGTTTCAACTGGGGGGGGGGGGACAAACCTATGCCTCAGCAGGAATCTCAGCAACTTTAAGAGTGTGAAAATCCAACTTCCAAAATTCCGCAGTGTGCAAGCAATCTCCCCCCCCCCAAATCTTATAGAATAATAAGAGTTCTAACGTTTTGCACCTTGTAATGAGATTGTTGTCTTATATTATTCATAGATAAATAATTTTAAAAAATTAAAAACCTTGAAATATGGGATGTTTCATAAAATGGTTTTGTTTAAGCCTCAATTAAAAAAAAACTACACTTTTTTCGTGTTATAAAAGCGCTGCAATAAAATTAAAACTCGTGTCAGATTCTTTCCAGATGAAGAAAGACTTAATTCATTCAACATGTCAAAATTTAGGTTATGTTGATGCATATCAGAATTTTCCGAGACTTATTTTATTCAAAATATTTTCCATGCACCCATGTCCTGCATTCACCTTTTGCACAACCTTCTCTAAGAATGGGAGGTTGGAAACTGGATAAAAATTAGGCAGATAGGTGGAATCCAGTGATGGTTTTTAAGGAGGAAGTGAACCCGGGTTTGCTTAAAAGCATCCAGAAATGTCCCCTCCTCTAGTGATATATTAATCACATCTGAACCCACCATCCTCAAGCTTTCACCATCCAGGATGAACAAGGATCTAACTAAGAAGTAGTGGCACTGACAGCATCAAGGGTCCTGTCCACTTCATCAGGCCAACTGAATCAAATTGTTCCTAAATAACACGGCAAGACTTCTCCTGTGGCATCTCACATGGACTATCTCCATGCATGGGGTCCAACTGGGAATGAATCTGAGTGACTTCGTCCATCAGATGCTGAACAAACTCTTCTTCCTGCCCCTGAAAAAGATAGCCTGAGCCCCCATGACCTAGGAGGGAATGGGCAACCCAAAACAGAGCCTCTGGGCAGCACTCTGACAATGCGATAAGAGCAGAGAAATACTGGTGTTTCACCACTCTTACTGCCACATTGTAGGTCTTAATAGTGGCTCTAAGTCGTGCCCATCAGAGTCATCCCTTGTCTTCCTCCAGCAATGTTCTAGGCATCTCTAGGTCCTTTTCAGAACTTGTAGCTCCTCCGTAAACCAAGGGGAGGGTTGGAAGCAATAAGTTAAGAGCGGCCGCATGTGCACAATCCTGTCCAAAACCATTGCTGTCGCCACAGTTTTAGCAGGCTCATGCAGCCATATCCCCATATATGTCTCAGTTCCTATCAAGGTCCATGAGTTACTGGGGTCAAACCATCCAAATGGGTCCAGCCTCCTTTTGGTGGGGGCACCATTACAGGATATGACCATGACAAGGGGAATAGTCTTAAACTCCCTTCTCACCAGGTCATTTTGCCATTGCTCCGACAAAAAAAAATCAAATCTGGCATGTGACCATTGTCCCAAGTCAGCCAGAAAATCTGAGATGGCTGCCATGGTGGCCATGGATTCCTGGACTGCTTCTGAGGTTGCACTCAGCTTGAAGTCACCCAGAAACATAAGTTTGGGGAACTCCACCACCAGCCCTGAGATGGTCTCCAACAGTTCAGACAAGAAGTTTGCTGCACAGCAAAGAGGCTGGTAGATTGCTAATATGTCTGAACTGTCAGGAGGCCGGAACATACCACCTCTATTAAGCATTGGGGGCATTTTCTCCTGTAACGGCTTATGTTCACTTGGTCGTATATGTATCATATCTCATCCAAAAGAAGGTGAGTCAAAATGGTTGCAGGTGGAGTTGACTTCTCCTGTGAACTTATCAGCTGTCCAGATAAGTTACTATTAAAGAAAGAGGGAGGTGGGCTTCTGTGTTATGTCAAGTTGTGCTTCCTGGGAAAAGCATGTGAAATCAGTGATCTGGATGTGTCCTCAGATAATTGCTGCAGCTCACTATCAACCTTAGCTATAATACCTAAGATGCTTACTTCTGGATTTGGTAGGACAACTAGGTCTTGATTATATTCCCTTAGGAATGAAAATAGAAGTTGACTGAGAATAGCTCAAGTGTGCAGATGGCCACTTGGAAAAAGTCAGAAAATTAAAATGTTCTTCATATAATCTGGACAAGATTTTAGCTGTTGGAGATTAATACTGTGAATTAGAAGCACAAAGTTTCTATAATTATTTCTAGGGTTTCTTGAGTGCATTCAGCCCATATATTTCTGGGCCAGACCATGACTCATGTTTATGAGGAACAGTGATTTGAGAATTAATTTGAAGAAGGGAGCCAAAATATATGGCCTCAGATATATCCTTAAGAGGGTAAAATATGTCACATGATAATGCAAAAACAATGCCCCCATTACTTATAATATGAGTTAATAACTCCTTTTGGGGGGAGAAATTGGGAGTAAAGAAGAGATCCAAGAGTATGATTAACCCTTCCCCTTGAAGTTTTTCCACTTCTTAAGTAATTTCTTAAACAATAGAATTCAGAATTCATGTCTTCCCAAAAAGTATTTCAGAGATGTAAGGTTTCAAACTGTAGCTTTTGTGTCATTTTGCATCTTAAGATTTCCCTCTCAAAATGACCTGGCTTTGAAAATATTTGACCATTATTGCTTGTATTGTGTAAAGAATTAAGAAGTATTTTAATTTCTAAATGTGGTGTATGGTAGTGAAAGTATGGTATTTCACTAACACACTGCCAGGAAAAGAGATAGCCATACTGTTTGAGAGAGGGTCAGTCCTTGCAAGAGACAATAGTCATCCCAAGACAAACATGCTCTTTCTGAGTGATAATTTGCCATACACACATTCTTGGTCAGAGGTGTTTAATATGTCTGCAGCTGGTACAATTACCATTACATATTCAGTTATTGTGAAGTGTCAGGATGCATAGAGAACGTAGCTTTGCAGCCCATGCACACATGTATGTTGTAATGTAGGGTTCATTTTGCTTCTCTTTCTTATTCCTCATTGAAAATACCTAACGTAGAACACAATCCTGACTATGAATAATCCAGGAATAAACAAAATATAAACATAAATCTGTTTTCCACATAGGACTTTAATATAAAAGGATGCTGAGAAGAAATTGTTTTTGACCATTTGTTCTAACATGAATCTTGTAATCCTTACAGGTTTCTGATGAAATGTCCCTCCTGATCTTAATAAGATCTTCTTCTACATAAACATGTGTGTAGAATTACAGACCATCTTGTGGTGCAGTACAGTACAAACAGAACAAAATTTTCACACTTGTTTTTCTTTAAATTTGGGAAATCTCTACTTTCTTAAGCAGAATCCCTCATCCCCAAATTTCACTTGATTCCTAGACAGTGCTTTTAGAAGTATAAATTAAAGACAAATATGCCATCATTTCTATATCTGATTCCCCCACCCAGAATTTGCAATTCTACAGCCAGTTTTCATATGGAGGAGGAGAAATGGAAAAAGCAAGGAACTCACGTTTGGAAGCTGTAGCACTCAGAACATGTTCACCAACAAACAGGCATCCAAGGAGAAAGAATAGGCAAGTCCACTTCATCCTGAATAGATAGACAAAAGACAACCACACTACAGGACTTGTACAACCTGACTTGATGTTCCTCTCAACTCTTCAAAGTAAGACTGGGATAACAATTCCCTCCTCTCTTCCTCTCTTTGGTTAAATTAAGATCTTGGGGCTCATCATGTGATGGGCCTGGATTAAGAAGAGATGCATGATTTTGTTTTTTCTCCCTCCCTTCTTCCCCCTCCCTGCAGCTCATGTGCTTATGAGTCATTCCTCTCACTTTTAATATTCACTGGGATTTTTATGCAGCTCTGTTTTACCTTTCATGCATTTCTAGCGCACTTTCGCATCTTTAACAGAGTAGCCATAATCATGTAGTCTGCTAATATTTTAATTCTTACAGTGATTCAAAGATGGGCAGGTTCTACATCTTCTAGGAATGGTGTCTGGAGTAGCTGAGAATTACAAGTGCTTCCAAGAGTTCTGTAACAGTAAAATTAGGACCATCAAGATGGGGTTACATACTCCAGGACTAAATGCAATTCAAGCACATTATATATTAGTCCTGTAGCACAGGAACACAACGTTGGCCCTAGTTTTTTCAGTTTGTACAAACTTCCTTAAGGCAAGCAGGACATGAATTAAGCATTTGTAGTGGACAAAAGATTTGACAGGGGAAAATGTGTGCCTTAAAACTGAACGTTTCACTCAAAATTTTGAAAATTGAATCTGATTTTTTTGGAATGCAGCTACTAAGCCATGCAAAAGCAGGTCCTTAAACAAAGTTACACACCCTTGCCCTTGAGCATCAGTTATCAAAGTGTGGTCTGAGGATCTTTTGGGGTCCCTGCCCTTCCAGAGATCTGTAAAGTCTAATAAATGAATATTTTAAAATTTCTCATCATTATTTTCTAATATAATAAATACTGACAAATATAACACACATAAACCAAAGTTCTTTGGAGTCTTCAACTATTTTTAAGAATGTAAAGGATTCTTCAAACAAAATGTTTTGAGAATTGCTACCCAAGAGAAACATACCATTGGAATGTTGATGTTGATGTTGATTTTATTTATATGCCGCCCTTTTCCCCCCGAAGGGGACTCAGGGCGGCTCACAACTCAACCAGGGAAGGGGGATACAAACAAGAATTTAAAACGACATAAAAAACAATGCATGATTAAAACACAACAGTCATACCAATTCGAGATGGGGGCAACAGTTCTTTAGCCCCAGGCCTGTCGGAACAGCCAGGTTTTAAGGGCTTTGCGGAAGGCCTGGAGGGTGGTGAGGGTTTGAATCTCCACGGGGAGTTCGTTCCAGAGGGTCGGAGCAGCCACAGAGAAGGCCCTCCTCCGAGTAGTCGCCAGTCGACACTGGCCGGCGGATGGAATTCGGAGGAGGCCTAATCTGTGCGATCTAATCGGTCTAGTGGAGGTAATTGGCAGCAGGCGGTCTCTCAAGTACCCAGGTCCAATACCATGAAGGGCTTTATGAATATGAATTGGTCTTTGTGTTCTGCCCATGCCTTCATGTGTGCCTTCTCTTTCTGTGTCTCACCTACTTTTTTAGAAACAGATGTTATTTTCATTTCTTGAGATCTGTGGGTAGATTCTACACAAAAATGCTGCAAGGTCTAATAAAGTTTAAAAGCTTAATTAGATCACTCAGTTTCCCTACAGTACCCAGCCAAATGCCATATTAGATTCAGGATCACAAATCATGACACAAAATTGTGAGACACCACTTTAACTAATTCTAACTAATTTAATCTGCTAACTCCAATCTATTGAACATTGTCATGATGTTTAAAAAACCATTCTCTGACAGGAAATACTCTTAAATGCTCAGTAGGACTCCCTTTAGTGTTGTATTAGAAATCATCATTAGCTAGTGGCATAAATTCGAGAGGGACATATATTCACTAAGAATTGTAAAAAAAAAAGTGTATACCACTGTATACAGTGGTATACAGTATATACCACTGTATATGGTCAGCTGTTTCCTATGCTCTCCCATACATAAAGCATACTTTCTTCAGAAGTTTAGATGGCATTCACATGATTGCCAAGTGACTTACTCTTTTACCCTGGGAATCATCCAGTTTATTGTCTGTAGGTGTGCTGAATTACAACTCCCATCAGCTGACAGCTGGCACAGGCAAAGCCTGCTGGGAAAATTCTGAGAGTCTAATTTATCAGAGTTCTATTAGATTGAAGAAGGCTAAAAGTTATGGCTCTTTCTTCACTGTCTTTGAATGCTATTTGTCACATGGCACACACTACTAGCTTAACTATTAAATACAATAAGCCCCCTCTTTCAATTGGAGAAGGGAAAGGAAATTGGCTCCTTTTATAAACTCAACAACAAAAAATGTCATGTGGGAGCAAAACGTGATAGCTTGACAGAGTTAAATTTGATTAGCAAAAGTTTTCTTCTACTCAATCTCTGAAAATAACCCTGAAATAAGGTATTTATCCTTCTGAATAAAACAAGTCAATCTTGTGTCACCTACTTTGTTATCAAATGATTTGTTTTGTCATGTCCAGACGGGTCCTCTGTAACTTGTGTCATCTCCAGATATTCCCAATAGGCATCAGGCTTCATGCTGGATAACACATCTAGTATGTCACCACACAAATTATTAGGTTGCATAAATCTTATTAAGATGTTTTGAAAGATACTGATAGCTGAAAAACAGTTGATGCTGGACTTTTTACAAGATTCTTAGAGGTTCAGCGATAATATAGTATATGACTCCCCAGTACTGGAGTTAAAAAAAGTATTCATGCAATCATGTAGTTTAGTATTTCAATATTTCTGTCCCAAGCACATTTAACTGCAAAATCATAGCAACTCTTCATTGTAATTAGTAGCCAAACTTCAGTCACAAGTTTGCAGGATCCAATCTGGGTTGGTCACGTGACCAGAGATTTTGTCTTCAGAGCTTTCAGATTCATGATGTACCCTCATCCACAAGGAATTGGGAACCTCAGGGTATTTATATGGTGCCTGTTGTACGTACATTTTTAGATGCAGATTGGGGTATTGAGGGCTGGCTATTAAATCGTTTCCTTGTGCAGCCAAGCTCTTGCCTTTATCAAGTAATTGATAAAGTGGGATAAATCAGCATTCCTGTTGATTGATGAGCATCCAATTTCCCAGGGTTCAGTCACTTCCATGGTTGTTTTTCTGCCTGCTCGTCCCACAATCTTAGTATCAGCAAAATTGAATGTATGTTGTTGTTTATTACAATATGAGGCTACCAAGAAAGGCTATGATCAGAGGATGTATTCATCAGGAATTATATGACCAACAAGCAATCAGAGAAAGATGGCAGGAATATGCAGAGCAGCTTTACACAAGAAGAAGACAAGAGCAAGCCTTAAAGAAGCTGACCTACCAGAAATGGAACTAGATCTCCTGGAGGAGGAAGCATTCAACCAGTTGCCAAACTGCAAAGTCTGAGAAGTTGATGGAATTCCTGCAGAGCTGCTAAGTCCACTGCCAACGAAAGCACTGAAAGTGCTTTGCCAAAGGTTGCAAAAAGTGATCACATGACCCTGGGACACTTCAACTTATCAAAAATACATGCCTGTTGTCAAACAGCCAAATCTTGATCACCGACCGGGGATGCTGCAATAGTTGGTCACTAAACAAATGCTTGCAAGTTGAGAACTATCTGTATGTGGTAAAAACAGATATTTTAATAGAAGAAATATTAATACTGTGGATGAGAATTTAAAGCCAGAAGCAGATGAATAATGTATAAAATAAAGCAATATTCACAGCCTATTCTACAGCTTTAAAAAGCTTTTTTATATTAAACTACAAATTTAAATGTATCTATTGTGGAAATGAATACTTTCTAAAATTCTGGAAAGTAGATACAACAAAAATAGAAAAAAGTAGGAAAATATTATTTCATTAAATTTGTTAGGAAAAACAGCAGCAATGCTTCTTATTATTAGTTAAAATGTTCAGTGTGAATAAACAGCATCTATTAAAATCAAATTAAAAGCAAAATAAGAATAATAAAAGGAAAAATAGTTTAAAAGGGGACAGAAGTTATGACAAGTACCAAATAGACAAATTTGCTAATAAAATTGAATTCCATTTCAAACCGTATTAAATAATGAAATTTTTCCTGCACTTTTTGTCCAAATTGTCCAAAGTTACTAGACAATTCAGCCACTATTATTAGATTTATACTGAGTAGAATACAAAAGTATTACAATCTGAAAATTACAAATTAAATTTGTTACTTGCTCCTGCCTGGACTCTTCTCAAATCCTGAAAATAAAATTGACCGCATTTTCCAAAATTCCAAGGCAACTTAGCCTAGAGGGAAATTCTGGGAATTGTAGTCTCAAACATGTATGGAGACACAGCTCTTTGCCATATTTCAGTATTTATGTTTTGGCCTAGAAGATATCCCACCTTCTGGATGGGCAGAGTTGAGATATATGACTCAATTACATAATGTTTAAAACTCCTACAAGGGCAAACTGGAGAAAACCCAAGAAGAGTAGAAAAGAAGGTAGCAAAATAAAAAGGTTGTGAATGATGGAAGTTTCCATTCTCTCCCCCATCTTCTTGTAATATTGTCTTCCTCTTGTCTTTTATTAAATATGGATAACAAAACTGAACAATGAAATAATATTTTAGTCTCAAATAAGGTGTGAGAGTAAATTATATAACTATAAAACGTATAACCATCATTAATGTATTGTTTGTAGTTATGCACTGACAAAGAAACATTCATTTAGATAATGACTGTAAAAAAACTAATGGGCTGCACATTTCTGTTTATCACTTGAGATATATTAAAGCATCATGGTTTCTTTTGAGTGTTTTTAAAATAGTCAAGCTTCAAATCCCCCAGATTAGGATTGCAAATGGCTTTTGTTCATTTTTTTTTGTTTTCACAAATGTAAATCCATTTTTTTTGCCTAATCTTGTGATTATACAATAAATTCTTGACATTTGATATTGTCTGACACTGTACCTAGCTTTAACCCTAAAATCATATGAGAGGGGAGGATGAGGTAGCCAAAATAAGCAGATGTAATCAATTGGTTTTGCAATTCACAAACAGACAGAAGCTTTTTAGGGGCAAATTTATAAGAGTCCTATAAATTTTCAATAAAATACTCACCTTATCTGGTGCCTTCCAAATAAATTGGGATTAAAACACACTAACTTTCTGGCAAGTATTGCCCATACAGATCGAGAAATTAAGTTATTTGATTTACCAAGCTAGTGTTAACTTTAATGAATGAGCTTTTTAGTACCCTATTTGGTAGTGTTAATTAGATAAATTTAAATCATTTTGGTTTCATGTATGAAATAATGGAAAGGAGGGAAGGAAATTTCTTTTCACAAGTCCTTTCTCTGTCATTTTTTCCTGCTATATTACATATCATTTTACAGCTTCACACAAGTCTCAAAAAGCCAATTTTTGTTAAGATTATGTTAAAAAGTTCAGTTCTGTCCCTACCTCCTCCGAAGTTCCAGTGTACTAAATAGAACTTAATCTTATGTTTTCAATTGCAACCAACTGTAATTGATTGATCAAACACTTGAGAGGGAAGGCCTTGTTTGCTGTTCTGATTAAAGAAAACAGAAGATTAACCTATTCATTATTCTACATTTAAAAATAGTTATTAAAGAAAAATATCTTTTGGCTCATTATTTACACTTAACAAAATCCTCCCCCCCCACTTTTCCTTTTGTAAGAGGGAATATATTTATAGAAGGAAGAGGCTCACATGTTGGCAGAAAGAATTATTTTATCTTAAGTAATGCGTTTTATAGAACTAATGGGATTAACTTTTCAAAGCATTGAAAGTGAAAAAAATTGTTTGCTACTTTCTCTTAAAAAGCCATGATTTAATGCTTCTTCAGATACAAAGGCATTTTTTGTATGTGTGTTTCAAGGCAAAAATTGCCATAGTCATTTCCCACTGTTTGAGAAAATGCTGTCAATAGATACCAACTGAACAATTTGTTTAATACAATTCTGAGGAAGTTTGAGAATCTACAGATAAGCTGTAGCACCCTTTATACAGGCAGTCCTTGACGGACGACTGAGCCAAAATTTCCATAACTAAGCGAGACAATTGCTAAGAGTGTTTTGTCCCATTTTACAACTTTTCTTGTAACAGTTGTTAAGTGAATCACTGCCCTTGTTTTGTTAATAACAGTTGTAAAATGAATCTGGCTTCCCCAAGACTTTGCTTGTCAGAGTCACAAATAGTGATCATATGTCCGTGGGATATTGCAATCATCATAAGGCAGTTGCCAAGTATCTGAATTTTGATCATGTGCCATAAGGATTCTGCAATGGTCATAAGTTTGGGAAAAAAAGTCCCTTTTTCCAGTGCCATTGTAATGGTCATTAAATTAATGACTGTAAATTAAGGACACTCTGTATTCTATATACCTTGCCTTTAAAAAATATTTTCAAAAGGAAGATCTACTTTTATATATTGGAGTGTCTGTCTTAGATCACTCAGCTTTATAGAGAAAAAACAAGCTATCCTATACTCAATTGAAAGCCACACCATTTATTAATTACATGGTCATGGTTGTTCACCATTATCATAATTTTCTTCACCATTATCATAATTTTCATCTTATAGATTCGTGCAAAGTTTCAGAACAGGCCAATAAGTATTATTTATAACTTATTTTTTTTCTAGTTAGAGAAGGGCAAGATTCAATCAAATGGACCTCTAAGCATAAAAATGCTCTGTAAATTGTTTTAAATGCTATGTAATCCTTGATATGCAACCATGTCTGAAGTTACAAAAGCACTGAAAAAGCTACTTTAATTAAAGCAGTCTGTTGCAACTTAAACCTTTGAAACCAAAAATAAAATAAAAGTTTTATAGATCTTATTTTTGGAAGATTAAATGGGAAAGATAAAGGTTTCCCTGTCAATCATATCCGACTCTACGACAGGGCGATCAAACGTGCAGGCTGCGGACTGGATGCATCACGCACTGGCCACTCCCATGCCCAGTTTAGCAGAGGAAAAAGTAACAATGTCACGATAGCATCATGACGTTGCGAGTTTGACACTCCTGCTCTAGGATATGATGATCATCTTTGTTTCTTCGTCATGGGAGCCAGCATTGTCCAAAGAAAATTTCTCTGATCATGTGGCCAGCATGACTTACGGTGCCCAGAATGCTCATATCTTCCCACTGAAGTGGTACATGTTAAGCTACTTGCATTTGTATGCTTTCTAACTGCCAGGTGGGCAAGAGTTAGGGCAGGAATGGAAGCTCACCTCATTGTGTGTATCTCAGATCTCGAACCTGGACTGCTGCGTCTCCAGCTGACAAGCTCAATGTATTTAACCGTTGAGCTTGTCAGCAGCTCTCCCCATAACTAGCAGTTTTATTCAATAAATATAATTGTAAAATATTGATAGTGGACTATTTATTATAATGAACAATTTAACCAAATTGTTTGGCCCTTTACATTTACCATCTATATTCTGTGCCTGTATAGCCTCTACAAAATTGATCACAATGCCATCCATTATAGTGTTTTGGATGTTTGTGCCCGCTCACTGTGGAACAAGAGCTGTTGAGGACTATACATTCAAAATTGCTTTCCTTACATATTGTAGTCTGTCCTTCAAAATGTATAGTTTATATTATGTAAGAAAACAATTTATTTTGTGTTTTCATCACTGTGAGGGGAAATCTAATTTTTAAAAACATAACTTTATGTCATTGCAACCTATAGGTACAGTATCTAAATTAAGATAATTAAGATCGGTTTTCAGTCTGCCAAATTGCTCTTAACGCTGTCTTTTTCTCATCTGACTTTTTGAAAACCAATTTCTACTCTGTAATCAGAAGTAATCTAATTACCTTGAGCATATGACAGAGCACATGCTGGGACTATGTTTCATGTGATCTAGAATAAAAATTCATAAATTATTTATAGAAATGTGACTAGCTTGCTGACAGGAAAACAGTGTGTTAAACAATAAAAATGCCTATTCATGCTGTCGCAATATTTTAGCAGCAATTTTAAAGATTTAAAGTGATTAACTTTGTAGAACTGCTTCCCAAATTTCTTGCCTTCTAGTTGAGTTTTACCAGGTAGACCAGATAAAAGACATGACTAAATAAGCTGGTTCGTTATTGTAAAGCTATTATTAATAGAATCTTGCAATTCTGGAAGTACAATTCTCCTGCCATCACTCTGCATTCACACAGAGAACTTTAGCTGCTGTGGTGACATAGTAGTTAGAATGTACTATTGCAGGTTAATTCAGCCCACAGCAGTTCAATTCTGATCGGCTGACTCAACCTTCCATCAAGATTGGTAAAATGAG